CCCTCCCCCCTTGGGGGTAAGGAGAAAAGGCAATGGAGAGGGCCCTCTAGAATGCACCTCAGAATCAGATTTTTGGATCCCAAACTATTTTCCAGGCAGTGAAAACCAGCTCAGAATAAACCAGGGACTATCAACCTGAAGCAGAAGGTTTAAAACCCAGCAGAAATGTACCAGGATCACCAGAAAAGAAGCAAAAAGTTTGTGGTAATGAAGAGGACCTCTGCTGGCTCCTAGCTCCAGGTTCCAGTGACTCTTTCAGCATTCCTGAAGACTTGTGCAAGGCCCATTTTGGGGAGTGACGATTTGTTGATGAAAAAGTGCCAAACCATGTAAAATATTTTAATATGGTTTATTCTAAACCAAACTTCAAAACCTAGGTCTGTGATATGCATCCCCTGGAAGTTCTGAGAATATGAGCCCACCAGGTTTGAATGGTGGCTTGGTTATATACATTTTAGAAAGGCAGAAGTAGCCGGGCTCAGTGGCTCAGCCTGTAATCCCATGCTTTGGAAGACTGAGGTGAGTGGATTGCCTGAGCCCACAGGTTCAAGACCCGCCCGGGCAACTTGGCGAGACTTCATCTCTACAATAAATCAAAAAATTAGCCGGACATAGTACGCACCTGTACTTCCAGCTACTTGGAGGCTGAGGTGGAAGGATCACTGGAGCCCAGCAGGTCAAGGCTGCGGTGGCCAGGAGTGTGACACTGCACTCCAGTCTGGGCGACAGAGTGAGACTCCAACTCAAAAATAAAATAAATAACTCACTGCAGCCTCTACATCTTGAGCTCAGGTGTTCCTCCCACCTGAGCCTCTCTAGTAGCTGGGACTACAGGCAGGTTCGACCACGTTCAGCTGGTTTTTAAAAAAAATTTTTTGTAGAGATGGGAATCTCACTATCTTACCCAGGCTGTTCTCCAACTCCTGGACTCAAGAGATCCTCCTGCCTTGGCATCCCAAAGTGCTGGAATCAGCATGATCCACCACCTTCGCAGTTTGTGGTCTTTGTGATTTAGTAATTCAGTGCCTAAGACTGCCTCTGGCAAAAGCACAAAAGAAAATAAGGAAACATTAACAAGATATTTTATTTCAGCAGTTTGTTATGCTGACAGTTTTTGACTGAATATTTTTGTTTCTGTTTTTGTTTTGAGTCAGGGTCTCACTCTGTCACCAAGGCTGGAGTGCAGTGGCAGGTTCATGGCCACCCCAGCATTGATCTGCTAGATTCTGGTGATCCTTCCGCCTCAGCCTTCCAAGTAGCCAGAACAACAGGAAAATGCTACCATGTCTGGCTAAATTTTTTATTTATTGTAGAGATGAGGTCTCTCCAAGTTCCCCAGGCTGTTCTCAAACCCATGGGCTCAGGCAATCCCCTCACCTCGGCCTCCCAAAGTGCTGGAATTGCAGGCTTGAGCCACTGCACCTGGCTTTCAGCTTCAACTTAAAGCAACTTCTGAGGCACTATGAAAAAAGAGGTATTCGTTTTTTTATTTAAATGTGTTAATTGCTCATTTATCAAGAAAAAACTGTATCTTGGCCTATATAGTTACGTTTCTTAGTCCAGGAATACAGATAAGTGACAAACTTCTATGTTATTCAACCCATAGAAAGTCTTCATATTCCAAGATCATGTTGTACTCTGAAAAATACCAGCCTGATGTATCGCCTCCAAAAATTTCATGGAATCATGATTTCTGCAGAGTACTGCATATGTCTTCTTTGTTGCTTTAGCCACAGCTCTCCTACAGAGAGCTGCAGCCACCAGCATACAAGGAATGCTCCAACAACATGAACCTGTAGATGTTAGCTAGACGGTCACACATCTGTGGTTTCATCAGAGCACAGAAGCCATGGTAGTGATTTTGTCTTCGACAGGTGCCAACCTCAATGACAATGACCTTCCTGGTGGTTGGAGAAGTGGACAACCCAGGTGTATTTTTTAAAATCTGTATTATTGGTTGAGCAAGTTGGCTCATGCCTGCAATCATACAATTTGGCAGCCTGAGGTGAGAGTATTGCTTGAGTCTAGGAATTCAAGATCAGCCTGGACAACATGAGGATACCCCACCTCTACAAAAAAAATTTTTTTAATTAGGCAGGCATGGTGGTATACACCTGTAGTCCCAGCTGTTCAGGAGGCTGAGGCAGGAGGCCGTGTGAGCCCAGGAGTTTCAGGCTGCAGTGAACTTTGGTTATTCCACTGCACTCCAGCCTGAGTAATAGAGCAAGATCCTGTCTGCAAATTAAATAAGTAAATGTGTATTTTTGAAATTGTTGTGTTGCTAATTTATTTTTTCTATCCAAGTTTGGTTGAATCCAGGTGTCTGGAACCAGGGATCATGAGCCTGGTAGTATAGAACATCCCTATTGGACTTCCAGCAAGATGGCCACAGGGCAGCTTGGTCTATGAGACCTCCACAAAAGAGAACACAAACAGACTCTGGCTCTCTCCCCGGGGACTGCAGATCCCATCAGCAGCAGCCTGCTCTTCACACGGAGCTCAGTCATTGACACCACTGAAGCATCACAGTGATCCAGGTAGCTACTGCAGCTGCCACCGGCAGCCATTGCACATTGCACCACCCATGCCTGAGGCAATCCACACCTTCAGACCTTAAAGCCCCTGCAAGCAAGATCTGCTGAGATCACTGCTGTCACTACTACCACTGGGATGTCCTGCCAGGCTGTGAGTCTCCTCCTGTGTGCCTTGAGGCAGCGGCTTCCATTTCTGGCTTCTTTCCAGCTCCCTCCCCTGTGGGGTGAGCAGCTGAGAAAAAGGCCATCTGGAGCAGTGAGATAGCACCGGGTGCTGGAAATTCAAGGAACAACACCTAAAGGGGAAAAAAAGAAGCTTGATAAATAGTCACAGGCCAGATCTGAGTGGTGAACTGGGCAGTGGTGAAGTGAGTGGTACTCTAAACTGCCCTTCACAGCAGGCCAGGGGCAACTGACCCTAACGGTGAACAAATTTGCCAGCCTGAAAAGACAGCTAGAAATCAGATCTGGAAGGAAATTGGAATTAAACAAAAAGTCTCAGAATGTGCTTGATTGGTTCTGTGAGTTTACTGACTTGATTCTATTCCTTTTGTTTTGTTCCTTTTTTCTTTTTTCTTCTTTTATTTTCATCTCTCTGTAAACCATAACTTTGTATAGAGGAATAGTACACGAATAAGGAGATTGGTTGGCTTGTATGCTAGCATCATTGTATGTTTTAGAGGTTTTTTTGTTTGGGAGTTGGTTAGTTTGCAACCATGGTCTATTGTTTTTACCTGTTTCAGCTTTTGTCTCTCTCTCCATTTGTTGGTACACTCATCTGTTTTCTCCCTTACTCCTCTCTCCAACCTCCTCTTCCCCCCACTGTCTGCTCCATTCTCTTCCCTCTCTTAACCTCATTTTATTTCAGGGAGTAAACCTACAATCCCACTGCATGGAGAGATTCAAAGGCAGTGAGAAGTGGGTTTGAGATTATCCATACACCTGTCAGCAGATAAAAGGACCTGAACAGAGATTTTGAATCACAGCTTTCCCCTTAAGTAAATCTCAAAACTGAACAAAGGACCACTCCCAATCTACAATGCAACTACAGAATTGAAGAAAGTAAGAGGATATACATAAAGAAGAAAAGAAGATTAAACAAATAGAAGTAAAAACAACCCCTCTACCCCTGAATAACAGAATTAAAGAAGACAGTGACATGGAGGGAAGGAAAAAGTAGGGAGGAAAAAACTGCACAAATTAAGAAAAAACAAAAGAAGAATATAGGTCTCACATAAACACCTGGGAGGTCAGACACTGAGAAAACAGACTTCGGAACACTAAAAAAGAAGAGCCCCGAGAATGACTGGTCACATGCAATAAACCCAGACATCAAGACATTAACAAAGAGAATTTTAAAAATTGAGGAAAGACAAGAGGAAAATAGAAAGGAACTGATGACAGAAATAATGGCAGTAAAGAATACTGTGATGGAAATAAATAACAAACTGATAAGCATGGGAAGTACAATTAGCCAAGCAGAAGAAAGAATCTCAGAGCTCAAAGACCAAAA